CACAGCCAGGATGTTCTCTGTTTCCCTCAGTGTGGGTGCCTGGAGGCTCCCAGCCCTGGGGACAGGCTGTCCCACCAAAGCAAACCCAGAAGGCCGGGAGGAGAGCCTGGGGGGAGCGGAGCTGCTTGAGCAGTCGCTCCTTTGAGGGACATGCACACAACCCATCCCTGCAGCAGGCAGTGCCAGCCCAATCCCTCCCTGCCCCGGGACAGCTCCCACGGCCCAAGGGGACCGAGTCAGGCCCTCTCAGGAGACACCGGAGTCCCTGCCTGGTGTGCAGCCACTGCATGTCCACACGTGTGTCCAAAGCCCCCAGCTGATGAGTGTCACGGCTCAGGCTGGGGGAAGGAGACCTACTGTGCCCTCTCTGCAGTTCCTTCATGATTTCTTTCAGAACTTCATTTGAATCAAAGGACTTTTCCTCTCCTGGAGGTTGGTTCTTGCCTTTTGGAGGACCCAAATGGAAGGTGGTTCCATTTGAAACGGATTAGAGAAAACTAGAGCTCAGCCTGTGAGGTCAGCAGGGACAGACTACTCACCCCTGCTGTGTGAGCTGGGCTCGTGTGGAGGAACCAGCACAGGACCTGGAAAAGTCTTCCCTGTGGACACCCCTGTAACTCAACAGCCAGAGAAGATTCTGTCATCTGGCTCTTGCCATGTTGTCAATTATTATTCTTTAAGTGGATATTGAGACTTACCTGCAGGAGGCCTAAATGGCTTCAAAACTTCACGCAGCCAATGTAAAGGAGAAACATTACCAGTGTCCTCATCTAGAAGCAAACAGGGATGGGAACCATTTCCATTGCATGCTGGGATCCCCTCCTGCCTCAGAGAACTGTGGCACTGCGGGGGCTCGGGGAGCACCGTGGGGGCCAGATGTCAATGGACATGGGCAGAGCTGCAGAGGGGCCTGGGCAGCTCTGGGCTGGCTCCTGACCACTCTCCACACTCTTCCCATCCCTGTGCAACATCCCTGGGGGAGCGGCTGGAGCAGCCAAGGGCCCCTCAGGGCTCCCTCCTGCACCCAGAAAACCCTGGCTAAAGCCCTGGGGAAAACCATCCCCAAC